ACTTACCGGGGGTAACGTCTCTACCACCAAGGCTGTAATGTCTCTGTGATGTCCACCTAATTTAGCTGTGACATCCACCACGTCATAAGATTTGGGTGGGACCTGACTTATAGCCCCTCCCAATGTCATACTAACCTTTCTGGCAGTCTTCAACTTTAATTTGGCCACCAAATTCTTTGTTATCAAGGATACTTGTGCTCCTGACTCAAAGAATAATCGGGTTGTTTCGGACCTGTGCCCATTCACAACCTTTGCCATGACTGTAGGTAGGACAGCACCTCTGTAATTCTCACTCGACTTACAGACTTCACTCCCACTAATCACATTGGCTACCTTTTCAGGATCCGACTCACTTTCCATCTCTACATGAGAGATATCCCTACTAGCCTGGGGTTCCTTTATTTTATTGGGACATAGTGCAGCATGGTGCTTACCTCTGCAACAGCCTCAGCACTCACTGAGCTGGGTGTGACAGTCTCTGGCAAAGTGTTCCCCGCAACATTTGAAGCAGAGTCTCAAATCCTGTAGTCTCCGTTGCCTACTGCTCAGTGTTGTATAGTCAGAGCAACTCGTGCTAGCGTGTTTGCCTTCACAGAACATACATATTCTGGCATGAGTGCCTCTGGGGTTCTGCTTAGAGGTTCTTGCCTTAGACACTTCTGTGGAAACTTATTCAGTCCTAAAAGTTGCAGTGTTTGGTAACTCTTGAGAAGTCTGCCTCAGCCTGTGACCTTGAGCGAGGCACTGCATCACCTGCCTGAGACTTTCGCCCATATTGACTATGTGAAGAAAGGCGAATGTGCGTGCTCAGTTACCCCTACTGTTCTCCTGTATCCCCAACTCTCCGCCTTTAAACTCAGCCGTTCGCCTCTATCAACGACGTGCAGTATAGAGGTGTATTTTGCTGCCCCGCTGGTACTCGAATATGTGAGTTCCGCAAGTGCTGCAGATTTGTTGTAACTATTTGCATGAGTGGATTACACTGACTTAGGACATTGTGCTACCATCAGTACCTACGTAGGCTTAAAATGAGTGAGGAATGTCTGGCCTGCTGGGTGACCTTGAAAATGGCACTATAAGACCCGCATGCCACTTACACCCATACTGCGTGTGTCTAGTGAGGTGAATGTCCCTTCCTCGACTTTCCTATTCACCGGTATCCCTTAACTCATCGCCATTATCTACATATGGGATAAGGGCGAGTTTAGCTTATCCAGGCCAAACAGCGCTCCAAGCCAGCCAGTGAAGGCCAAGGCTACATCTGTTCTGAATCCCAGAATGCCTTTGTGAACGTTCTACAGTGTTCCGGCCGCACCTTCGGTGTTGTGAGAACTAGTTCTTATGTAGTGAAAATTTGTCTGTCATTCCAAGACACGTGTGCTAGATGTGTTAAGTGCTGCGGGTTTGGAGTAATTAACAAGTAGTACAGGGTTGGTAACTCTCGAGACGACTGTGGGCCCAGTGAATGACCTTGAAAATTGCACTGCGACCTGCAGGCCACTACACCCATATTGCCTGTGTCTAGCGAGGTGAATATCCCTTCCTTGTCCCTTCTCCTTCCTCGATTTGGAACTCAGCCATTCGCCTCTATTTGCTTGTGGTCTAGAGGCGGTTTTTTGCCAGACCACATGGGTGCTTGAGTGCCCGTGTCCTCTGTGCCGCACTCCGCTCATCTTGCGAGTGTCTCCTGTGTGCCTGCCTGCCTGCTGCAAGCAGGTGTCCGGGTGGTTGGCGCGGGCTTGGCGAGCACAGTCAAGCAAGCTTGAGGGCAGCACTAAAAGCTAGCCAGAACAAGCTAAGGCAGCCTGCAGTTATAGCTGTCCTGGGCCCCCCAGCATGCCCTGTGTATACGTTCTGCAGTGCCGGGCATACCATTTTTTCCGGAAAGGGGGCTTGAGAAAAAATTTGACGAGCTTTGGGGCCGTGCTGACATTTTTAGTGGGACATGCCAGATTTCACTTTTAAAACATAGTAAGTTTTGGTGGTAAATTGGCTTGACACAGTAAACCATTCATCTTTTCATATTGTGCTAGAAGTTTTAAAAGTTGCTGTTTTCCCCAACGGGTTTAATTGTCATTTGAAAAAGGCCATAAATTTAAGACTTTAAAAGGCTCAGAGTTGTTTCATGTAGCGACTCCCTTAAAATTTTTAAATTTGTAATACATGCCTGTTTCATGTAACTGAACTTTTAAAAATTTACATTTAAAAAATTTTAAATTGCTTTTTTTCCAAAATTCATTTTTTTTGTGTTTCGGGAATTTTCCCTTTTTCTTCGTTTCCAACTTTAATTTTGAAAAGTTTCCGAAAATTTTTTATTGAAAACCCAAGGTTTTCATTTTTTATTTATGAAAAATTTTTATTTTTTGGGAAATTCTTCCCTTTAAAAAGCTTAAAGGGCGATAATTTTTCATTTTCCTTGTTTACTTTATATTAAAATTAAAAGAAAAATTTGAACCCTTTAAACCTTTTAAAACAAGGAAAAAATTTTTTTAGACATTTGCCCTTTGGATTTATGTTAATTCTAACCCCCAATTTTAAAATTTGAAAAAAACCAATTTTTGAAAATTTAAAAAATTAAAAACCTTCCCCCCCGGGGGAGCTTGGGGTTAAAATTTTTTGGGCCTATTTGGACCCTTGGGAATTGGTTTTTAAACCCCCCGTCCACCAAATTTAATTACCCCAAAAACCCCCCCCTCCCCAAAAAATAAAACCCCCAAAAAAACCGGGACCCCCAAACCCCCGGGCCTATGGTACCTTAAAAAAAGGGCCTGAACCACCCAGGGGAAAAAAACCACCCCCCCCCATATTTACTAAACCCCCTTTTTCCCCCTTGAAAAAGGAAAACCCCTTGGTGCCCCCGGTAAAACGTCAAAAAAAAATTTAAAAAAAAAATTTTTAGGGGTTTTTAAAAAAAAATGTTAATGTTTGAATAAAAATAAAATGAAAAAAAAGGTAGCCCCCGAGGCCGGCCCCGGGTTTTTTCCCTTTTTTCCCCGGCCCCTTCCCATTTTTTTTTTTTGTTTTTTTTTTTTTTTTTTCCTTTTTTTTTTTTTTTTAAAAACCCCTTTTAAACCCCATTTTAAATTTCCCCCAAAAATTAAAATTTAGTCTTTAAACTGATTCCTTGGGTCCCAACCCTAATTTAACCAATGGGGGTTAAACCCCAAATTTAAACCCCGTTTAAATATTTTCCAAAACCAAAAAGGCCCCAAAACCCCTTTTTGGGGGTCTCTCCCCCTCTCTCTTATTAAACTTTTTTAATTTTGTAAAAAGGGTAAGCCCCTTCCCTTTCCCAAACCCTTATATCATTAATGAAACCAAATTTTATTAACAAAACATACAAGGGGGCTCTGATTTGGTTTTTTGGGGGGAGTTTTCCGAAATTGAGTGGGGGGCGGGGTTTTGAGTATGGTTGGGGTGTTCATTGAACTTAAAAGCACTTGTTTTTTGTGATCTTTTTTGGGGGCCCTTCTGATTTTGGTATGAAATTTTTGCTTTTGCAAAAAGGGCTAAAAGGGAAAGATAAGCGGGGAATTTTCTTGTTTTTGGAGTCAAAACACCAAAAACCACACTGGCAAACAGGGGCAACTGTTACAGAGGAAAAAAATTTCCTGCAGGTGAGGGAAAAATTTGGTAGCTTCCAGCCCTTTTAAAAGTAAACAAAAGAAAAAAAAGGAAAAAGGGGCCTAGGGGGTCGACTTTGCAACTCACTTGACTCGTACAAAAAATGCGAAAAACAAAAAACGCCCTTTTGGTGCACAGAGGCTGCAAAAAGGGGGTTTTTCTTCAAAGGAAAATTGTTTTAAGCTGAATTTCCCCTGACAACACCCCCCGTCCTGCTAAGGGGTGCATGGTAAGGGAACTGTAAACAAGAAAATCCAAACCCAAAAGGACCCAATTTTGGGGAAAAACCCACACACAACTTTGTGTTTGTGGAACAGAATGCGAACTGACCCAATAAACCTACAAAGTACCCCTTTTAGGGGGCATTTTAAGCTGGTTTCCGACCTCCATCAGACCTCACCATTTTAAAAAAAAGGGTCAGATCAAAATCTTTGGATACCCTCACGCATGGACCCATCCCATTTGACTCTCAGTGACCCATATAAATCAAGCCAAAAAGATTTAAAAAGGAAAACCCCAAAATTATTACCATTTTGGGGGGGTCCTGTGCCCCTCCCCCCGGAATATCTGGGGGGCAGGGTTTTAAACTTTTTCCAAACATCAAGTGAAACCTCCCCCCCTAAACGTGGGGTTTAAACAAATGCAGCACTATGGCCATTTTTGGCAGAAAGATTGGGGAAATACTACATTCTTGGTGTGGTAATTTGTGCGGGGAAACTTTCCACTAGAGAATGCACAGTAGGCCCTGCCCACCAAAAATTTAAGTGTATTAACTGTAAAAATTTTGGGGTTCCCAGTTTCCAAAAGGGATTTTGCAGCCCAGAACCCCAAAAAACCTTCGATGAAAAACCTGATAACCCCCCTTTTTTTAAATTTGGTAACTAAAGGATTGAGGCCACCCATCTACCACACCCACCAGATCTGAGACTGAACCCTGCAAATGTGCAAGGACCCCACCTCATTTGCAAATGATTCTGGTGATCCCCGGGAAATGCCTTTCACAAACACAACCAGTTGGAGGAACAAAAGCCTTCCCTGCTAGCACATAGGGAAAACTACTGGTCGGCCCCCCTACAGATCCCTATGGGTTTACCCCCGGGAAAGGGGGTTTATTTTTGCCCATTTTTTCCCCCAATACCCCCAAAACTAAAAACTTTTCAACGGACCCCAAACCCGGGGTAAAACCCCCCCTGGAAATTGGAATGGGGTCAGATGCACAGGACCTACCTGCAATAAAGATGAAAAGAGAACACAAATGTAACCATGGAAACCTGTTAAGGGATGGGGTTTTAAAAGGGAAAGCACAAACCCCGAAGTGCCATCCCCCCCGGAGAGGCATTGGATTGGGCCTGACCTTCCTCATATTATAACAATTTTAAAAAAAAAAAAAATTAAAGAAACTTGAACAGACCTGACAATTTTAATAAATAATCAATCGGGATGAGCCCCTTACAGGGTTTATGATGTAAAAAGTGCGGGCAATCTCCGTTCAGCTTCCAGAAATTTGTGAGAAAAAGGGCCCCCATGACTCTTGCCTTCAAGATTTGGGCCTTTTAAACCTGGCTCCAAGATGCCAAAAAATTTAAAAAAATTTAAAGGCCCCTAAAAGAAAAAGGGACGTACAAACTAGGGCTATTTGCTCTTAAGTGTCTGCCACTGATAAAAGCATAATATTTTTTTAAACCATCTTTTTACAAGAGACTGTAATAAACCACTAAAAAATGGATACATTACAA